CCCCCCCCCCGCCTTTTTATTAGATTTGTAATGAGCTTCTTACTAGGTGAAAATAAATTTGGTAATGCACTAGCTCATGCCACCACCTTTGGCCCCTTTACATTGTTTGCAGACATGAGCCTCAATTGAAGAATACTGCATTGTTATAAACTAACATCTGCCTTAAATAAGCAAAGAACAAACAGGTGGTGTGAACTGGATTAGAAGAAACATACCTTCCTTCGTAGTATTAAGGATATTTGTTGTGAAAACAATTCTAAATACATAATTTCTCAACTGTTTGTATTCTAGTAATACATGGAACAGTGATTGAGCAGTGGACTACAGGCTTTCTGTTAAGAGAACTTGTAAACAACCATTTGAGCCCCAATCAAAATAACATGGTAGTGACTGTACAGTAATGCAGATTAAAACATTTCTCCTTGTTAATAACAATGATCTATTGCTTTACAAAAGTCTAGGCTCCCTAACCACATTAGTAATTAGCAATGTATAAAGATAGGTTGGGTCAGTCATTTTTCTGGCTCTTATTTTTTCTTTAGGCTGTCCTATAACAAATATGGATCTCTTAGGGAATGTCTAGACTACAGGCTTTTGTCGACAGAGTATAGACGCAAAGGACAGTGTAGATGCAATAATGCCTTCTATTGACAGAACTCTGTCGACAAGACATTATTCCTCGTAGAATGAGGTTTGCCGCCGTCAACAAAACTGCTGAGTTTTGGTGACAAAAGGCCACTTGTCAACAAAACTCTGTAGTCTAGACACACCGTTAGTGGCTTTTGACTTAAAAGAATGGTTTTATTTGTGTGGGGACAGAAAAAACGTCCAATGAACACTTGCTTGTTTTTCTGTGTTCATCTCTAGAGACCAGAAGGTGTCCTGGTAGGGAATCTACATCGTAGCTTCTTTTTACACTGGTATCTAGTACATGTTTACTTGACTGAAAAGTATTTAATGTAAAACAAACCAAAAAAAACCCCTCAAATACTTCTTTCAGTGAATAATCATAGTTCCTGTGCTACTTAGCCAATATTGTCTGTTTAAATTACACTAAAATGGAAAAAATAAACATTTCACTTAAATGGTTTTAGCTGTTAAGTATTTGTTTATGGTTTTTAATTAGTACAAGAATCCCACCTGTGAGCACCTAGAAATCCAGCCTTTGACAATACTGGTGTGAATCGGTTGATAAATGGTATTGATTTTCTCATTTAGTAAATGGTATTGAGTTTCTACAATGAAACTTATTTAACATGGCATGTTTGACAAATGACATTTTCATGATTTACAATCAGTTGCTGCAGCCTGCCTAATCTAGCATTTTGAAGTGCTTAGGACATATAGCGTATCCAGATATAAAATTCCTAGAAAGTATTTAGTTCAGTTGGAAGATGTATAGATTGATATACTTGGTGCTTATTAGGATGGCTCTAGAAAATAGCTACAAAACATCATTCTTTCTGTGGACTTAAATGCTTTGGAGATTTTTTTTCTTACTATCAAGTGTAAAATTAGGTATCCAGGTGTCTGAAATGAGCTTCCTAATATTGCTAAATAACAAATAAGTTATTGAACTAACTTCTGCTTACTGTTTTTCCATTGCTTATGTTTTAGTTTCATCATACCAGGAGATCAACAAATCTGTAAAGAAAATGGATACACGGTACACCTGAATATCTGAATTTCCAGGTAGTACTTACTAAGGCACTTTAAAAAAATGAGAATTGTCCTGTTTTCTTGACTGGACATTTTCTTTAGCCAAACTGTTACAGGCTTCAGATATTCAAACCAATTTACTTGGTGTACTGCTGAATAAGCAGTAGTTGCCATACTTGTGAACAAAGTAACTGCCAGATCAGTTTCTAATTGGTTGCTTTGTAAAGTATGTTAGGGTACCAAGAGTGTGAAGTGTTACTGAAATCAGATTATAATGAAGGATCAATTTTATTTTTCTGTCTTTGCTGTTAAAGGTAGTTACAAGGCATTTATTCCTTTGTTGCCACTTAAATGGGAAACTCCATTAAATGCTTAAAAGTATGAAAACTTCAGTATTTATTTATCTTTTAATTGTCATCAATGTTGAGTATCTGGTCTGTCTTGTTTCCCAGCAGAGGCCCAGTTTGATATAGTGAGACTGAAATTTGGTTTGCCACTAGAAATTTTGGAAATAAGTCTTCAGATTAATTAAGCTGGTGGTTATCTTTTACTACTTTGAAAAATTCTGGTTTCCAGTACTTCACTGGATGGAGGGAAAGATTCTAATCCTTCCGTGCATCAGAGTCACGGTATCTTGGCTTACTAGCTCAGCTATATGTTTAAGACACTGTAAATGTTTAGGTTGTGCCCATTAAAGGTCATGGTATTATCTATGTTTTTGTTAATCTCTAAGGTGCTGCAGGACCATTCATTGTTTTTCTAGTTCATTGTATAGTTACTTCACTGGAGCATTCCTTTTTAAATACCAATCTGTGGTCCCTTTTATCAACACTTGTATTTTTAAATTCAGTTGAACTTAATGATACCAAGATAGTCTGGGGTATGCTAACTTTAATGCATCTGATATTTTTTCTCTTCTGTGGATGCTGCAGGATGAATCCTCTACCTCAGGAAAAAGCTATTTTAGAACTCAAAGGTGCAAGTCTATCCATCGTAGAAGAACGACCCTTTGAAATTATCCTCTGTGGAAGATGCAAACAAATCTACAATTAAATTATCAGATAAGGCGTATAAAGGGTAATAGTGTAACTTTAAATCTTTCAATCAAACAAGTGTTAGAAAAGAACATCCATAAATGTTAATACTGTAGCAAAGTATTGTTGATGGATGTAAATGTTAAAATATTTCTACTTCTCTTTGAGAAGGACATGTACATTGTCATGAGTTTTTAATAAAATCTTGGTTCAGTGCATGTGTGCGTGCGCGCGATCTTTGAGGCTTCCCGAGCAATGGGTTAGAACTATTCAGATGAGTGTGGTAGAAGCAACCGATCTTATGCTCTTTGACTGGAGTTAAATGTGTGGTCTTTATTGAATTATTTCCCTAGTCCATTGTGTGAAACACTTGGAACTGGTGGGGTTGACCAGTAGGTGAATTGCGTTTCCATGGAGATTTGAGACAATAGTATATCGATGTTGTGTTACACTGGCAAGGTTGAATAGGAAAACATGAACTGCTGCCACCTTGTAACTTATATTACTCACACTCACATCTTGGGAGGAAAAGGCCAATTTTCAGGCTATCTAGTATTTTCATGTGTACTGAAATCATCCTTTTCAACTGGAGAGTTGTGCATGTGAGGGTTTGTGGCTCTATGAGCTTAGCTCTTAGTATTGGAGATGAGGCAGGATATTTGAACTTCAGGGAGGCAGGACAACTTAGATTTAACAGAAGACCATAACGTATTAAAAATCCTTCCCAAAAATTTATTCCATTGATTGAGCATGATATTTCACCAACCAGTAGATTAGGATCTACTGCTAGATCTCAGAGCCTCTGACAGGTGATCCTGACTGGTTTGGCCTGGAAGCTATCAAGTGCTGGTGCTTAAGTTGCTCTTCTACCCACTCATGGTGCTTCTGCCCTTTGACTTGGAGCTGCCCCCCTGGGAGCATCCTGCTTGCTGTGGACACACACTCCTCTCCTGACCCAATACATAGTTGGGGGGGGGGGGGGCGGAGTGTTACTACTTTGACTGCTTGCAAAGTGTGTGTTTTGGCTTTTGACTGGTCTGTGCATTTCATAATTTTCATTTCTCTTATGCTTAAATTTAATTCTTGGAGTAGTGAGTTTTAAAATGTCTAACTTGTTGTGGTTGGAGTCATTATCCCTATGGTAACTGCTGTTCCTGGATGTGGCTGGCATGTCCCTGCAGCCCCTGAGAGTCAGAGCCAGGGGCCTTCCACGTGCTCTCCTTGCCTGCAGACATCACTCCTGCAGCTCTCAGTGATCAATAATCAGGAACCATAGCCAGTAGAATCTGTGAGCTCAGTGCCTATAGATGAGGGGCAGCACATGGCGCCATTGCTGTACATGCCACTGCTTTCAGGAATTGTGCAGGGCCAGGGCAGGAATAAGCCTGCATTAACCACACTGTTTCACCACCCAGAAGCCATCTCAGTTAAATGATGCCCGGCCAGCATCTGCTTCCTGAACTTCTATCCTAGCCCTGAACCTCCTTGCATCCTACCTCCTGCCCTAGATGTGAGTTCCCCTGCACCCAAACTTCTTCCCAGAGCTTGCACCTGAAACCCCTCCTGGACTCCATCCCATACCCTGGGCTAAGCCTGGAACCCCTTCCACACTGTGGCACTGGAAACATGTTACAAGATAAGAGTCGATTATTATAAAATAATTCTCAATTCTATTAGTCTTTTGTAACTTCTCATACCTCCCTGTTTGCATTGGGTTTCTGAAATGCATCTATAAGAAATATCCCTGCCTAAAGTGCCTTCTCTCTTTCTCATGCAGAGGTGTTGTAACCATGTGAGTCCCAGGATATTAGACAGTGTGGATGAAGTGATATTTTAATGGATAAACTTCTGTTAGAGAAGATTTTGAGCTAGAGACAGGTCTTTCAGATCTGGGGAAAAGTACTGTAACTGTCTAGGTTGAACAGACAGTTAACACAAGAAGTTGATGAACATTCCGAGGGGGACCACCATGTGGAGAAAATGAGCAGCAATATGTTTCTGAAAAAATGTTGAACACACCACAGCTACACTATATCACCTGTGAGGGTTCTGCAAAAGCATTCAGTCATTTTGTATCTGAGTTGTCCTCAAAAGAAACCACAACATTATGGGCCTGGGAGCTTACATTTATTACTCTGCTAGATTTTAAACAGTATTTCCTGAGTAGAAATCTAATTCCCTTCTCTCCAACCATCACCAGTGACTGCACAGAGGTTAAATGGCCACACTGAATGGTCCTTTGAATTGCTAACTGCTTCTTCTAGTAGGCTAGGATTTACTGTCAGGGGCTGCGTCTAGACTGGCAAGTCTTTCCGCAAAAGCAGTTGCTTTTGCAGAAAAACTTAACAGCAATCTACACTGGCCACTTGAATTTCTGCAAGAACACTGATGATCTAATGTAAGATTGTCAGTTTTCTTGAAGAAATACTATGCTGCTCCCATTCGGGCAAAAGCCCTCTTGCGCAAATGCTTTAACAGAAAAACTTTTCAGTTAAAAGCATTTGCAGAAAATTATGCCAGTCTAGACATAACCAGGGTGTCCTGACAGGTCTCCTACTCTGTCTGAGCACACATACACGCATCCTTCTGGTTATTACAATCGTGTGCTGTGTTGACTTGTGCAATTAGTCAACACAGTAGAATCAGAGCCCCCCCCAGCCCACAAATCAGATAAGGATCAAAGGTTCCCAGCCAGGTTCATTGTTAAGGGGAGTTTAGTAATGGTTGTCAGTAGAATCTACTGAACCACTACACACATACCCATAACAATGGACAAAAACTGCTTTCCCCTGCAAGACACCACTTTATATACAGGTACAAATAAGTTAAAACATCACTCCTTAGGTTTCAGGTTACCACCCTGTGATGTTACCTAGATATCACCCTGCTCCTAGTGGTTTGATTAGAACAGGGGTGGCCAACCTAAATCTGAGAAGGAGCCACTATTTACCAATGCACATTGTCAAAGAGCAACAGTTATTTCACCAGCCCTGGTTGTCTCCCTACCATCACTCAGCGCAGCCCCACTGGTCAGTGCTTTCTCCTTTTCCTTCTGTCCAGTGGGAGACACTGGAGGGGGAAAGCATGGGTGTGACAGACTCAGTGGAGAGGGTAGGAAGTGGCAGGCTCCTAGGGGGAAAGGGTGGAGTGGGGCAGAGCTGGGAGTTGAACAGTGAGCACCCTTCATCCCAGTGGAAAGTTGGCACCTGTAGCTCCAGCCCTGGATTTGGTACCTATGTAAGGAGCTGCATATTAACTTCTGAAGAACCGCATGTGGCTCTGGAGCTACAGGTTGGCTACCCCTGAAAGAACATCTCTAGCCATTATGCTGTCAAGTTAGACCCTTTCCTGAACCTGGGTGGATATCTGTGGGGAATGTAGGTATCAAGGCTTTTAACAAACTGGTGGTACCACCCTTTTGGACTGTGCTTTCAACTTACGACTAGTAGCAATTTCTGTTTTATAGTCAGTTGCTAGTACCAATTACTGTTCTACATCTGGGCCTATTATCAGTTGGTGTTTTACCCTCAGCTGTGTAAGCAGGGGCCTGCCTCTTGCTCACAGTTTAGCTTTGCATTATATTAGCCAATTTTTGACCATTGTTAGCTAGGTCTCAAACCAGGCCTGAGTTCAGGGCCGGCCGGAGGCATGGGCAAGCTGGGCAGCTGCCCAAGGCACCAACCGATGGGGGGAGGGGGCCTGATGGCAGCTGTAAGGGGTGCGCAGTGTCCCTTGCAGCGTCCCTTACAGCTGCCATCAGACACCGCACGCCCAGCTCCTGGAGCGCCGGCCCGCCCACATCCCCACTAGGTCTCAAACCAGGCCTGAGTTCAGGGCCGGCCGGAGGCATGGGCAAGCTGGGCAGCTGCCCAAGGCACCAACCGATGGGGGGAGGGGGCCTGATGGCAGCTGTAAGGGGTGCGCAGTGTCCCTTGCAGCGTCCCTTACAGCTGCCATCAGACACCGCACGCCCAGCTCCTGGAGCGCCGGCCCGCCCACATCCCCACCCCCCCCCCCCCCCATTCCCCATGGCCCGGCTCGTATGCCAGCAGTGATGACTGGGTCACGTTTGCGCCATGTGCCCCGGGGGGGGAAGACCCCGCGCTACATGCCAGCGGCTGTAGCTGGGCTGCGCGTGCACCTGGGGGCGACACCACATGCCCGTGCCCGGGGTGCTGGAATACCTGCGGCTGGCCCTGCCTGTGTTACGTGAACTTTAATTTCAGACCCTTATCTTACTATACTTTATGCTTAATCTTTGCCACCAGGCATTTAGTTGACCCACTAAGAGTACATTTCCTAGCCTCGAATAAGAATTCTGTAAGCTCAAAAGCTTTCACCGATAGCTTCAGAAAGATGAACTGTAATAAGTAACTATTTCAGAAATCACTGCTGTTCTGCTTTTACTAGGCTAGATCATTAGATAGTAGCTTGATGCATTTACTATAGTCTGACTACTGTTCTGACTTCAAACACAGTATGGCTGTGTCTAGACTAGCCAGTTTTTCCGGAAAAGCTTGCCAGCTGTCTACACTGGCCGCTTGAATTTCCACAAAAGCACTGACTTCCTTCTGTAAGAAATCAGTGCTTTTTGTGGAAATACTATGCTGCTCCCGTTCAGGCAAAAGGGCCAGTGTAGACAGCTGAGATTTGTTTTCCACAAAAAAGCCCCGATCACGCAAATGGCGATCGGGGCTTTTTTGCGGATAAGCGCATCTAGATTGGCCATGGACGCTTTTCCGCAAAAAGTGCTTTTGCGGAAAAGCATCCGTGCCAATCTAGACGCTCTTTTCCAAAAATGCTTTTAATGGAAAACTTTTCTGTTAAAAGCATTTCCGGAAAATCATACCAGTCTAGATGTAGCCTATGTGTGTTCCCTGTTTAGGTGCAAGAAATAGTCAGTACAGTGTTAATGGCAATACAAAGGGAAACTCAGGGTGCATCTGCACAGCAGGGCTTAACTTGAAATAAGCTAAGCAAATTGAGCTATGTTAATTGCGTATCTTATTTCGAAATAGCTTTTTAAAAAAAAAGAGTGTCTACACAGCACTTCTTTCGAAACAGAGCACTCTTCCTCCGACTTCCCTTATTCCTCGTACAATGAGGGTTACAGGAGTTGGAGCAAGAAGTCCTCCAGCTTGATAGTATTTTTACACTTTCAGAATAACTGTCTGCTACGTAGATGCAAACTAAGTTATTTTGGAATAGCACTAGTTT